TCGTATTTCTCATACCGAACCTTTTTGGGTCCCACCGATCTTAAAAAGGTTTCGTAGCTAAAGTTTCGTGCGTGTGCACAGGATAAGAACCATTTAGGTTTCGTAGCTGCTGCGGAACTTTAAAAGGTTCAGTAGGGTACCGATTTTTTTTAGAGTGTGGATAGTAAGAAAAGTAAGAAGAAATATATACCCTCGGCATTATTATTTGTTCTAATGCAGGATCCATGAACGCACCATTGAGAAATAGAAACCTTGAGGAACCATTGTTGTTGAAAATATTCGAGTAAATCATTAATGACTGTTCTCATATATGGTGATAAATGTCCTACTAAATCATCATATACATCTTCAATAACAGTTTTAGGTAGTAATGGAAGAGCCATTAACTTTCGACAAAACGACTTAACATTATCATCATCGCTACACACTAAAATAAAATGTGTCGTATATATGTGTCGTACAAGAATGTGTCGCAGACTCCATTACAAAAATGTGTCGTACAAAAATGTGTCGCATTATAGATGTGTCATAGCCTATATGTCAATCGTTCATTCACCGATTTGTTTCGCGAGAGCAGCTGCATATAACCGAGCCTATTGGACGTACTTGACTTATACATTTTCGTATGTCTTTTTTTTCTAGATTATTTCTCGACCATTTATTATTCGAGAACATGTCGAGAGGTCGCTAGATGATCGAGAATGGACTGCCTCGAAGTAGTCTGATCGAGATCAAATGGTCTCGAGGCAGCTAGATCTTAAGATCTACCGTTTCGAACTCCAAGAATAGGTGCTCTGTTTGAAATTAACTGAAAAAATAGTAACTATTCGAATTTTCAAAAAAAAATAATCCTCGTGCCGAAAAATGGATTCGAACCACGTGTTAAAAATGTGTCGCATGTGTCGCACAAGAATGTGTCGTACGTCCGCTGGAAGAAATGTGTCGCAACGAGCTCCTCGTGTCGCATATTAATGTGTCGTACATTGTGTCGCAAAGTGCGACACATGCGACACATTTTATCTTAGTGTGTATATATTGAACTTAGACCAAGTTGTTGAATATTTCTATATACAGCTTGAGTGAAATGAAAATAACAAGATGAATGTTTTGCTGTAGTAAACTATAAGATAGGATGAAAATAACAAGACATACGCCACTAGCAAGATAAAAAAAGCATTTACTTCAGATTTTACTGCACTAGCCAATCCTGATTCACAATCACTCATAATGATTTTCGGTGAAAAATCAAGTTCCATTTGTAAAGCTACATATCTCAATTCATGAAATAAAAACTCTATGT